TGGGACTGTGTGGCCTGGAGAAGAGAATGCTCGGGGACCTCATCAGTGTGTGTAAATACCTGAAGGTAGGGCGTAGAGAAGACAGAGTCAGGCTCTTCTCAGTGGTGCCCTGTGACATGACCAGAGGCAATGAGCATAAACTGAAACACAGGTTCCTCAGCATTGGGAAATGCTTTTTCACTGTGAGGGTGACCAAGCAGTGTCACAGGCTGTGGGATCTCCATCCCTGGGGATATTCAGAAGCTGTCTGGATGTGGTTCTGGGGAGGTGGCTCTAGGTGACCCTGCTTGAGCAGGGGATTTGGATCAGATGATGGACCTCTCCAGAGGTCCCTTCCCACCTCAACCGTTCTGCGACTTTCCAGTTCCTTTCCAGCTAAGGAGCCCTTCTCTGCCTCATGTGGCCTATATTTTCTAGGCACCATCAGCCAAGATGTTTGTCATCATCGGCCAAGCTTTCCAGTATGAGGAAACTGAGTCCTATTCCCAGGGCTTCAAAGATATTCAGCGACAAGTGCTACCTTTCATAAGGTATTCCACTGCTCCTCTCCAAAGGGATGGTATCATAATCACCATCTTCAGTGGGTATCAATAACTATGGGATTTTTTACCCAATAAACCAGTGTTATAGCACTGTGACACTAGCAGGGTCTTCCTCCTTTACATCTTGCCTGTAAATTATATTTCAATAGGGGAAACCATTCGTAACTCACCATCTCCTGAGCTGGCCAAACAACCACAAGCCTGCTGCTAATCTGCTTTTGCTAATGAAAGCATCAATTCCTAGCAGCGATAGTTGTCATTAAATCAATAAGACACGTAACCCATTCTTCTGGTGCCTCACAGGAACGCTTGAGCAGCTTGTTAACGAGACTGGCTAATGCTGAGCTCCCACAGTCCAGAAGTTGCCCACCAATGCTCAAAACCGGTACCAAAAAGCAGTACTTGGGTTATGGAAGAGCTTTCCCAGTTTGCTTCGGTCTTCTAAATATTGTAACCCTGTTTTCCTTCTATTTTTCAGTGTTTGAAACCCGTGGATTGGCTTTGCTCAGGTGGAGGCCGTTTGGGCTTGAACAAAGCCCTGACATCAAAGGTCCGCAGGTAGTCAAACACTGCCACAGAGACAGTCAGTTCTTGGTTTGCCCACCAATAGAAACTAGGGGGAAACTAACTCCTAGTTATCCCTAAAGGGTTTCCTCCTTTGCCTGGGATTTGTCCCTCATATTGTTTTTTTAATCACTTGAAAGCACATCTGTGGTATCCCAACACTCATTTTGCTGGGAAAAACCCCATTCCTGGACATCTGGAGGCCAGTTAATGCTTTAAGGATGAGGAGATGACCCCAAGGTTGGCAGTATTGCCTCCAGAATGCTTCCTGATGTTAAAGTGCAGATGTTGTGGCTTATCTCTGGAGCACCAAGAGCAGCCTGTGCTGGAAAAGGGGTGCTTTATGCCATGAGCCAGCCTCGTGTACTGGTTTTACAGGTTTGTGGTGGCTGGGTCTGACCATCTGTCCAAAAGACCTTCATCCTTTCTTCATGTGTGTTGTGTGTGCGTTGACATAGAGGGATTGAGGGCTGCAAAAATAAGGATCATACCACTGACTGCTGGCTTGTAGACTGTAATTAGCTGATGACGGAAAAGCGCAGCAACAGCAAAATGTTCCATGTGTGTCTGTTCAGAAAGACAAAGAGGGAGGTAAGGAGGGTGATGATGCTGGAGGAAGAAGAGAAGTATAAAACAAGCCGGCAAAGGGAAGAAAACCAGAGGTGCTCAAGGACAAGAAGTCAAGCTGATTATGGAGAATAAGAGGCTGTGTTTCAGAACAGGAAGGGGAGCAGCACAGAGAGATGCGAAAGAGCAGTAATGACAGGGAGATGCATCGGATGGGCAAGCTGTGGATTGAAGGCGAAGGCACAAAAGGGCAAGGACAGATACATACGGCTTTGCAATTAGCGGCTGTGATTTATGTTTGCTTCTTTGTCTTATTATCCTTCCCTGGCAGATGTCCTGCAAGCAGCAGCAGTCGGGGGGGTATATGGGGAGGGGAGAGAGGGGATTTTAAGTAGTTAGACGGACTGTGAGGTATGGAAAGGGCTTTCTAGCAGCCTGTGCAATAATTCTCTGCATAATTCTCATTAGAAATGGAGTAATAGCTGACCTTTTGTTACTGATTTTAAGAGATCCCCTCTCCCTTTACCCCAACATTTGTGCTTCTCACAGCAGGTTTCTGTTCCCTTGGGCACTCAAGGCTGGTTTGGGTTTCAGCTGATGGCTGGTGAGGGGCTGGAAGGAGGGAAGCAGGAATGAAAGTGGCGCAGAGGAAAACCTTGCTTTGTTGGAGCTAATCTGCTGCTCTCCTCCCTGATCCTTTCTCCTCATCCTGAGCATTCCCTTTCCTCTGTACACACACACACACACAAAGTTTCTGTTCCATCCATTATGCCCAAGCTCAAAGGAGCGTGTTTGCACGGCCATCACTTGATCAGCTGGTGAGGCTGTGAGGCTAACAGAGAAGGTTGAAACCAGGAAAGGGGCTTAGATACTTGACTTTGGTTTATTTCCAATGAGTTTTTCCCACCTCTGCTCCCATGGCAAGATTGCCACTATAAGTAGGGAGCAATAGGCCATTCTTAACCCAGGGCTGGCCGGGAGGGAGCTGGGGAGCAAAGGAGGAGCTGGGGCTGCACAGGAGGAGAAGCAGGAGGCAAACAGGGTCAATTTGGGAAAGGAGGGATGCACTCCCTTGGGAGCAGAGGTCAGAGAGCTCAGCTGTTTCGAGGGGGCCTGCTGCAGCCATGGCAAAGGGCAGGAGGGATGTGTGGGTGACCACAAGCGCCTCTGCTGGGTGTCCCTTGGGGAGTGAGTCAGGACCTGTGGGCTCACCCTTTCCTATAATAGCTGGGGCCAAGGGTGTTTACCCTGTCTGCTCAGGAAGCCCAAGCACAGGCACCCTTTGTAGTCCTCTCGTCCCTGCAGGAACCCTCCTGCATCTCCAGGCTGACCGCCTTCATGCCCAGGGCACCTCGGGACTCATGCTCCTCTCAGGGGAGCCAAGGAATAAAGCTCCTGGGATTGTGTGTGTTAACAGCAGCACTATAGACCTGTGTATAAATGTGACTACATGAATAGATCAACTTTGCTTCGCTGTTGAAAAGCTCCAGGAAAGCTTACGTTTGGAGTGAACACACCGCAAGAAATCACTCCCAAACACCTAACGGCTGGCCTGGCAGGGCTCACACCATGACAACCTGGGAATAAGACTGAAAGTGCATTATTTCCCCCCCTCCCTTATTCTTTTGGAATCTCCTTTACTGTTTTATCTACAGGTCCTTTGGGTGAGCATCTGCTGCCTGCCTGCCTGGCTTGGCTGCCTTTTCTTGATATCCCAGCCTTTTCCCTGTCTCTGCCCTTAGAAGAGTTCAGCAGGAGCCTTGCCTGGGAAATGGGGATTTGCTGCCTCTTAGGCCGAACAAGAGCACACACTCGTGGTAGTAAAGCATTAAATCTCCTCTGGCATTATGTGTGAGAGATGCAAATCCCTGTTTTTCTACCTGGTCTGGGGAATGGGCATCCCTGGGTTTCCTCTAAGGGAATCTGTGAACAGTGGTTGACAAACACTGCTCAGGCAAAATATAGGGATCCCCATTTCCACTGGCAGCTTTTAAGGCAGTCTGGATACCCTAAAAAGGCTGGAAACAGCCTTGATCTCGGCCAGAGCTCATCCCTGTGTCTGGAGGTGACTTCTCCTCCCAGCTGCCTCCTGCCTCCCCCTGGAGCCAAGAGCTTGCAGATGCCTTGTTAAAGGTGGCTCGGTTGAGCATCTGTGGATCCCACATTAAGAAATCAAAGGAAAAAGCGGGATCCTTAAGGAAGCAAATCCATTTTTATCCTGGAAAGCAAAGGTTACTGGCCCAGCCTGGCTCAGTGCGGAGCTTCAGGGTTGAGCTTTGGGGGAGAACTGGGGTTGCCCCTTCCTTGGTTGGAGCAGCTTTGATGGGAGGAAAGCAGTGGGAAGGGGCAGGAATGAATAAAACAAATCCAGGGAAGAGAGATCTTCCACCTGTTATTATTCACTGCCCAGTTGCAGAGAGGGAATAAATTGCTTGGACATTTGTTGCACTTCCAAAAACCCATAGAAGGGAAGCTGCATGAGCGGTTTAAAACCCCAACATGAGTTAAATAGGATTTATCTGCCAAAGCTGAAGGGGGAAGGCAGAGAGGAAAGAAGAAGACATCAATTATAGGGAGAGGAGAAAGTATTTTGATTGAAAAATGTCAACAAGCTCTCCTGGAAGCTAAAACAAGCAGCAGTGATTGTGTTTGCACAAAACAAGGCCCTCTTCCCTATGTAGAAGATTGGTTTTGTTTTCCCATTTCAGATCATCTACCTTTCCCAGAAGAAAGCCAAATAAAGCCCTGTACGCATCCTGCCTTCCCTTGTTGAACTCCCCAGAAAGCTTTGGGTAACAAAGAGGAGAAAGGAAGAAAAGAACCCTCAGAAACAGAATACGACAGCAAGGTCAAATCCTCAAAGACCTAAAAATAGCTCTGAGGACAGGGCTCTGTGTTGGCGATGATGTTCCAATGAAGAAGCTCTTCATGCACATCCTGGCTCCTAGCTCAAATCCAGGCATGGAAAGGGATTTTGTAGGTGTTTGGGTTGTTGCAGGTTTAGTGTCTCGCTGATGACTTCTAGGTTTTTAATTCCCTAATCCTACGTGAGTGTTGTAGGCTGAGAAAGACATAATCCAGGCTCCTTGAATGAGTCTCGCAGAGTTCTGTTCTTAGACAGAAAATGAATTAGGTTAAGCAGGGATTAGAGGAGACACACCACATGCCCACTTGGCCCGCTGCGGGCGCAACTGTTTATGTGCGAGCTGGGAAAAAAATGGTTGGGCAGAAAATAGTTGTAAAAATTAATGGGGTTTCCAAAGGAAAAAAAACCAAAACAAAGTAAAAGTAAAAAGGAGCCTCAGGATGTTGGGGAGACTTTCTCAAAATCACAGAATCCCAGACTGGTTTGGGTTGGGAGGGACCTTAAAGCTCATCCAGTTCCAACCCCTGCCACAGGCAGGGACAGCTTCCACTAGAGCAGGTTGCTCCAAGCCCCATGAACCTGGCCTTGAACACTGCCAGGGATGGGGCAGCCACAGCTTCTTTGGGCAGCCTGTGCCAGTGCCTCAGCACCCTCACATGGAAGAACTTCCTTATATCTAATCTAACTCTCGCCTCTGTCAGTTTAAAGCCATTCCCCCTTGTCCTGTTACTACATGACCCTGGATGAAGTCCCTCTTCAGATTTCTTATAGGCCCCCTTTTTGTACTGAAAGACTGTTACAAGATCTGAACAGCCCTAAAGGTCCGTGGGTAAATATATATAGGATGGAGCCAGCATCCATGGAAAGATGGAGGTTCAATGGCTGATGAAGTTTCAACGGTGGGCCTGAGAATACCAAGACAAAGCTTTGCTGCACAAAGAAGGGCTGATAGGGAGACCTGAAGACTACAAAGATCATGACAATCTGGGTGGTGTTTAAGAACCTGCAGTTGCAGCAGGTGGGCAGCGATGCCCCAAGGCCTGTCCTCCTTAGCACCGGTGTCCCTCCAGCCCTGAGACACCGCATCCTGCTCTGCCTGTGTGCTGGAGCCAGGCTTGCCGAGCACGGAGCGCGGTGCCCGCTTTCTGGATCTTCTATTTTAAGCAGCTTCCGTCAGAGGTGAGGAGTTAAAGTTGCCATGCCGACAGGGAGAAAGCAGCCCCTAAAATAGTCAAAAGTTGCTCCTGCGTCATGCGAGTGTGCGTATGCTTCCTGCGAGGGAGGCGAGGACCGAGCTGTAAGGATCCTTCCTGCGCAGGGCACAAAAGGCCCCCTTGTGAGAACATCTATAGGGTGCTTTCAGACTCCTGCCCTGTAGGTGTTCACCTATAGGTGAATGAAGCAGCAGCAGCGATGGGGGGATCCTAATGGTCAGAGCATTGAAAAAGGGACAGATTATTCCTGTTTTCACTGCTGATCTCAGCCTCCAGACCCCGATAAGGAACCCAGTCAATGTGAGACACTGGGAGCAGAGGAAAAGAAGCTGAGTGGTGTAGAAGGGAATATGCATCTCCCAGGGAGGTCTTGCACTATGCTTTGTGGAGCAATAGTGGTCCACCACAATGTAAAAGATTTGCAGCTGCGTGCTGGAGATATCAGAGGGCTGCAGTAAGCAAGCTGTGCCCTGCTGATCATGGACCTGCAGCATCCTGTAGTGCAGGAATAAATGGGTTTGGGTTTGCATTTTCCCTGTTTAATTTGCTGTTTAATTCAGTTTGATCAAAGATCCCAAAATGGGGATATTTAATATTTTTGAAGCTCTTTAAAACCAGGGTGTCCCCTGAAAAGGTGCCCAAATCACTTAACCCAGTGACACAGATCTGCCAGGGGCTAGGGGATGGTTTTGCCTCTTGTACATGCTCAGGTGAGGTTATTCTCCAGCCCCACACAAGCACAAATGTTTAGCCACCTCTGAGCAAGGGGAAAATCAAGTCACTCCACATACTCATAGCCAGGCACGCTCCCGACCCTAACGGGTGCTGGAGCATCTCTGCAGCCACCCCGGCATAGGCACAGGCTCCTCACCGCGGTGAGGCTCAATGTGCGCTTTGTCAGGGGAAAATCACAGCTCACCTTTTCATTCCCCACGTTCTGCTTTCTTCCCCCTCTGCCTCGCTCCCATTGTCTCTCCCTGCTTGCCCCTCCAGCCACTTGTCTCTCTGCAGCCCACACTCACAAATGCAATTTCTTCTGATGTATGAATATTTCACAAGCGCTGCCTCCCCGGGGACGGAGCCTGCTGAGGAGGAGGCAGCCTCTGCGGGGATGGGAATGGTAGCAAATGACAATCTTAATGAAAGATCTCTTCTCCAAGGGCGTCTCTGCAGAAGAATACACCGTGCTCCCAGCTCATCCGAGTGCTCCCTGCTCTCCAGCTGCTTGAGTTGCCTTTGGCCATGGATGGTGGATGTATAGAGAAATACAGCTGAGCCTTTTCCCAGGATACACTGTTTGGAGGTGGTTTGGGATGCTTTGGTCTGAGCTCCTTATAAGAGTGATGGAAATATCTTGTATAGATGCACAATGCAGAGTGGCATGATGCTTTGTGTGAATTTATTTCCACTAGCAGATGAAATTCATCATGTAATTCCCTCCACCCTGATGCACACAAATAGCACATATCAAATCCAAACAACAAGCTAATCATCCTTCAATATGCACATGGACCCGTTTTTTCCCTGTACCCTCCCAATCTCCTTGTACAACTACAGGCCACCGAGAGGGGCTGGCACCCAAAGGACATATTTTTCCCCCCAGACCCATGCACAGTTTCCCCAGCAAGGCTGGATCTCCCTCACTGGGGTGGATCTCTTGCTTCACACCCGCTTTCCCTGCCCCATCCAGGCTCAGGATGGTTGTGTGCGTAAATCCTTGCATCTGCCTGACCCCAGCAGTATGTATACAGCTGTGTGTATATATTCCACTGGCTGTATAGAGCTGCCTTATAGATAACCCATCTGTCTTAGATATCTCAGCGATACATCTTAGTTATTGCAGTAGCAGGCACAGCCTATGCCTAAGCAGCAGCAGCGGTGCCGTCTGTCTTTCCGACAGTGGGTGGCACTATGCAATAGGAATAACTTTGCTTCCCCTTTATTGCGCTACCTTCGCTTTTCAGCCCGATGGGGTTTGAGGTTTGAGAGGGACGGGGAGCACGGGTTTGACACCGACAGCATCTCGAAGCTGAACTGGAGGATGCTGCCCTGGGAAAATCAGAGATGGCTGAGCCCGGCTCGAGTTGTGCTCCTCGTCACTTGTTTAATCTTCATTTGAGGAGCAGGAAGTGCCTATGAGAAAAAATAGAGTATGGTTGCTGTTTGGTTGCCCTTTTCTCTTGTAAAACAGAGTAATCGCTGGTCCACTTTATCAGGATGATGTTAATTTGTGGCACTCTCCTACAAATAACTTCAAATCACTGGGACTTGGTGGTGTGACTCCACAACGAGAGATGTGGAACTCAATTTGTGCCCATTGCAGTAAGTTTTCTTTGCATTTCTCTTCTGTTGGAAATGAAAGGTTCATTCTCGGGTCTGGCTTTTATCTGCCCCATCAGCATGCTCTCCATAATTAGCTCCCATTGCAAAGCTTTTCCCCAAATGAACTGAACCACAAGCAAACAACAGTGAGATGATGCAGCCCATGAGTCCGTGACTGATGGTACAAGGTGTCATCCCTAGAAGAAAGGATACAGAAATGTTTGCCCAGATTGCTGGGCTTGGCAGGAGCACAGGGTGCATGAGCCTGTATGAAAATGATGTTCTCAAATAAACTGATTAATAAAGAATTAATTACTAATAAAGCTTCTGTGGTGTTAGCAAACACTGAGTTGTATGGTGAACTGTATTTAAAAGCTGAATAGACATTTATTACCTAGATCACACCCTTGGCAAGGAAAACAGTGGCGTGATGAAGAAATAACGAGAAAACAACCATGTATTCATGATAAAAACTCAGAATTCCCGAAAAGATCAAAGGAAGACCTGGGTTCAAGGTGGCCCATGCACCAGAATCCGGTGTGTGGTGGTGCTGGGTGCATCCCAAACCAGAGCTTCTCAGGTGATGGCTGGTGAGTCATTTGCAAGGGATAGGTTATACCAGGAGGTGTCAGTGTCCCCTGCCTCTGCTCCGAGTGCTTGCCGGGGTTTTAAGGTAGGAGCTGCTCAGTTTGCAGCTGGGGCTTGTGCTGGTGCTAGGATCTATTCAATGGGAAATAACTCCTGCTTTGAGCAGAGGAGCAGGACCAGCTTTCAACAGCAGCATAGTCCATGGAGCAGAGCAGCAGTGTTTAAAGTGGTCAGTAGGGGAATTCTGACTTCTGTTTGGCTCTTCAAGCAGGACAAGGGTATATCCACATTTGTGCAAGTCCTGGTTTCACGCCAAATGAAAGCCACCCCCAAATAGGATACCAGGAGCAAAACACTGTGCTCACGCTTTACTCATGCAGCCCAAGTACTGTGGTACCCTGCTGAAGTCAGGGTGATGGAAGCTTTGTAAAACCACAATGCATCATCTCCCTGGAGGGTGTTTACCCAAGGGTCCCCTCTCAGGTCACATCTGGGGCAGTTCAGCTCCCCTGAGGTGGATGAAGACCCAAGTGGGGAACATGGAACACAAACAGATTCAGAGCCAAAAGCGTTGTGTGGCCCTGGGAGCCTCCCGCGGCACCTCAGGCTCAGCCTAGAGGGCAGGCTGTGCCCAGCCTGGCACACTGACGGTGTGGACACATCCATCAGCAAGGACGGAAGTCACGGCAGGGAAATGAAAGCAGACAAAGTGAGTCTGTGAAGTGGAAATGCTCGATGGTGTGTGATGGATGGGGTCTGCACTGGCAACCAGGAGGGCTTACAGTGACCCTGCTTATGGCAGTGATGTGGGACCAAGCTTCCCTCCACAAGGAGAGCATCCCCAGGGCCTCATAAAGCTACAGTTCACCCTGGAGTTGTGCAGGAGCCAATCCTTTATTCTCTTAGAGGTTTGAAGGAGGTTTGGGGAGAATAACTGTGTTTCTTTCACAGGCACAGACTAGAGAGATGGAGACTTTCACAGCACTCAGAAGCCTGGTCCCTACATGCAGGGAGAGCAGTGATGGAAACATCAAACCCCCCTGAAGCGCAGTGAGGGGCTGGGCAAGCATGCACAGGGTTCATGCAATGTGGTGGGCACTCATTGCACACCCCAGAAGAGCTACACCAGCAGAGGACACCACTGTAGGAAGAGTACTGCTTTTTCTGCTTCCAGAGGAGACCTCTTTGGCAATTACAAGCACACTCTGCCTTTGCAGGCCACAGTGGGTGACTGGTGTTCCCAGGCACCACTATGTCCACTTCAAGGGATAACAGCTCCTATAAACCACACACAGAGTGTGTGTCTGTATGTGTCTCCTTTCACAGCTGTATCACAGTCATACCCTGCTCTTTATGTTAAAGCAAATGACTCTGT